TTACTACAAATACTAATGGTTTGTGGCATTAATGTTTTATTTTTATTAATGGCACAGTTTACAATTTTCAGTGTTTAGCATTTACTACTAATTCGAAAATACAGAGTTGAATTGAATCAATAAATTTAGAAGACAAGCTCCAACATTATAAGATTTAATATGTCTATGGAACTGGAACACATCAGAAAAAAATGGATACTACACTTATTAAGAATATTCAGCTGAAAGGCATGGTATAAAACTGATTCTCCAGTACTCCAGGAACAAAGAAGAATAGCATCATACCTTATGTCATTGTCTGCTTTCTTCTGGGCTTCTTTGACATTGGTTTGATCCTCGCAACATACTAACCTATGCAATTTGGTTTCATATTTTGAATAGATATTCATTCATCTTACAGGTCAGCTAACTTAAATACCACCTGCTTGTTGTTGTTGTTGTTGCTGCTGCTGTTGTAATAACTTTCACTTGTACAGGTAGTCCTTGATTCACAACAGTTTATTTAGTGACTGTTCAAAGTTACAACGGCACTGAAAAAAGTGACTTCTGACCATTTTTCACACCGGTCACAATGGTCACACTGATGACCATTGCAGCATCCCCATGGTCACATGATCAAAATTTAGATGCTTGAGAACTGGTTCATATTTATGACGAGCAAACTCAATGGGAAAGCCAGATTCATTTAACAACCGTTACTAACTTAACTGCAACGATTCACTCAACAGCGTCAAGAAAAGTCGTAAAATAGAGCAAAACTCACTTAACAAACCTTTCACTTAGCAACATAAATTTTCAGCTCAATTGTGGTTGTAAGTTGAGGATTACCAGTATACGTATTTAAGTTATCATAAGAGCTTCCAAATACTCAGATGCTACACCTTCTGTCATCGGCTCAGCCACAAACTCAAAATCAGAATGGGATAAGTTATATCAACAATTGAGGAACTGGAGTAATTTCTGATATTGAACATGATGCTAGAAGCCAGAAGTTTGGGGAACATAAGCCACTGAACAGGATTCATTGGAGGAATAAAACAGTTCGTAGGAGTGATCACTCTCTTTAAAGGATCTATCTCTTTAGAGAGTTTTACAGTTTTTACACTAGTGTTTCTCAACCTCAGCAGCATTAAGAAGTGTGGGCGTTAGCTCCCAGATATACATCTCATTCTCCAGGATCAGGTGAAAGCAATAAGAAAGGATACCATTGTATCTTATGTCTTTTCTATCTTCTAGTATACTTTGATATTGGTTTGATCCACTATCTCATACTAGCTCTTGCAATTTGGTTTTCTGTATTTTCATATTTCAAACAGAAATACAGAGAGTCCTGGACTTACGACCACAATTGAGCCCAAACTTTCTGTTGCTAAGTGAAACATTTGTTAAGTGAGTTTGCCCCATTTTACAACCTTTCTTGCCACCATTGTTAAGTGGATTACTGTAGTTCTTAAATTAGTTAAATTGTTGTTAAGTGAATCTGGGTTCCCCAATGACTTTGCTTGTCAGAAGGTCGCAAAAGAGGATCACTTGACCCCAGAATGCTGCAACTGTCATAAATAGGAGTCGATTGCCAAGTGTCTGAATTTTGATAACTTGACCATGGGGGATGCCACTGCAGTCATCAGTGTGAAAATTGGTCATAAGTCACTTTTTTCAGTGTGTGTAAAAAGCTGTGACTTTGAACAGTCACTAAATGAACTATTGTAAGTTGGGGGCTACCTGTAGTAGATTTCCTCCACAAGTCAGCTAACTTCAATCAGTTTTGGTTTTTTGCTGCATTGGCCTTCATATGCGTAGGGATTTCAATTGCTGTAAACCACGGGTGTCAAACTTGATTGTGTCATGTGACGTATCATGACGTATCGTGACATTTTTTGCCTTTGCAGAGCTGGGGTGGGTGTGGCCTGCATGTGACACATCTGACCCATGGGCCGCCAGTTTGACACCCCTGCTTTAGACAAAAAAAGAGTAGTTGAAGAATCATAGGCAAGAAGGTAATCTTTGTTGGAATAAGCACTTGTTGCTCTCCATGGTGCTGAAACACCTGCCTGCCACACTCTTGTTGATGTTACATATGAAAACTGTCCCAAAAATTATGTATCCATCTGGGGGAAGAGACAAGATGGAGATATACTAGCACAGGGATGGGTAATTATGGCAACTTTACAACCTGTGGACTTCAACTCCCAGAATTCCTGAAACAACATGGCTGGCTCAGGAATTCTGAGAGTTGAAGTCCACAGGTCCTAAAGTTACCATAGTTGGCCATGCCTGCACTAGCAGCTTCTGAAGTATGCGTCTGTCTAAAAAGAGGATGAAAAGGACTTGGTAATGTTTTATGTCGCTGAATCACAGCATTGGCCATATACTGTTCCTCATATGAAAAGGTTAGGGTAAATGAGATATAGCTGGTTGTATTTTGGAAAAGAATAAAACAGCATATTATAACTAGGAAAGCTGAAGTGATAAAGACTCAGAGAATTAATCAGGAGATGCACTTATATGATGTGATATATTAAACATTATTTCTTCAGGACTCTATGAACTTGCATATACATCTCCAGAAATGAAGATGGACTTTTAAAAAAAATAAAAAAATAGATTCTCATCCCTGAGAAGGAAGATCCCCCTTTATTCATGCTTTTGGACTAGAAACCAATCTAGAAGATGAAACTTTCTCTTGTCTCTGTTGAAGAGAAGGTTTGAAAAGCAGATTACAGTTGCAATCCATGTCAAAATTAATAATTTAGATTATTTCCTTTCTGTGCATTTAGGAAGTCGTTTGTAATATGTAAGCACATTTAAGCTAGACATGAAAGGATTCTGATTCTGATTGCAAAATCAGATTGTGATTTGTGAATCACATCAACAAAGACAAATCAGAAGCGGAGGGAGTATGTAGTGCCTTCTCTACATACATTATTTTTCCCCTAAAATCTAAAATAGTTTGTGAATATTAATGATGAAGAAACAGTTCATCTTCATTATAGATTTAGTATCTAGCGAAGTCTCTTTGGGCTATATTTTAGTTCAAATTAGTGATGGCTACTGATTTAGAGGTTTGTAAAGTAGGATTAGTCTAAAATATGTTTATGAAAATCTATTAATATTTATATTAAATTTCTGTAATGAACAGAAATTTTTCAAATCAAGGAGGAAAGATCATTTTGTTTTTAAGTTTGGGTATGGTTTTTGAACAAGATGTCTGCTTGGCCATTTTGTGGAATGATGGAATAAAGAGAGCTTTTGTTCATTTGTGAATTTTTAAATGCATTCTATTTCAGGGCTTAGCTCTGGAATAGGAGGAATTATTCACTAAAGAACACAGGCTATTATCACATAGAGGTTTTCATCCCCATGTATCAATGACTGCATAACAGACATTAAAAGAAAGTTTATTTTTCTAAAAGAGACTGAAATATTGAGAAAGACTCAAGTGTTGGACATTTTTTACTTGATAATTGTCTGAAAATACAGCAGGTGTCAGCGTTCCAGAAAAACAAACTGCAACACCAAAACTCCAAGACAGGCATTTTCTCAAAGTTCAATTTTATTATAGTTGTCATACTGGCACATCTGGGAAAACCCAAATCTGAGAGTTCCGGGTTTTCCCTTAGTAATTAAAATTCAAAGACCCATCCCCTGTACCCATCAGTCCATCACATGGCCTAATCACCATCCATCCCAACAGGAGATAATCCTCCAATCACTCCTCAACCAGGTGCAGGATGACATGAACTTGACGGGAAAAAAGAATGCTATTATGTCTATCTACATACACCCTATGAAAACTTCCCTCCCAATTTCCCAGTTTCAGGAATATGGCAGCGTGGAAGCTTCTGGTTGTAATATGGCTTCCAAAGCTGACGGCAGGATGGAGAAGAGCAGAATATTCCATCAAAGGAGGAAGGTGTGTCAGTTGGTTGAATATGTGCAGCAGCAGCAGCAGTAGCCAAAAAAGCTAATATGATTCTGGGTTGTATGAATAGAGGCATAGAATCAAGATCACATGAAGTATTAGTATCGCTTTATAAAGCCCCAGTAAGACCACACCTGGAATACTGCAACCAATTCTGGTCACCATACTACAAAAAAGATGTTGAGACTTTGGAAAAAGTTCAGAGAAGAGCAACTAAGGTGATCGAAGGCCTGGTGACTAAAATATATGAAAAATGAGTGCAGGATTTGGGTTTGGCTAGTCTAGAAAAAATAAGACTTAGGGGTGACATGATAGCAGTATTCCAATATTTGAGGGGCTGCCACAAAGAAGAGGGGGGCAGGACAAGAAACAATGGTTGGAAACTAGTCAAAGAGAGAAGCAACCTGCAAGTACGGATGAGCTTCCTAACAGTGAGGACAATTAACCAGTTTGCATTCAGAAATCATGGGCACTCCATCACTGGAGGTTTTTAAGACAGACACTTGTCTGAAATGGTATAGCTTTTCCTGCTTGAGCAGAGGGCTGGACTAGAAGACCTCCAAGATTCCTTCCAGCTCTATTTCTAGAAGGTTCAGATGACTTCTTAATTTTATTTTTTTTCTCCTTCCCCTGAATTGGCCTGTAGGGTGACTAAAAGATCACTCCTTCATAGTCATATATTTCAGTATCAGAACTAAATGAACAAGCCTTGATATACAGGTAGTCTTCAACTTAGTTCATTTTGTAACCATTTGAAGCTACAACAGCACTGTAAAACAATGACTTTATGATTGTTTTTCACACTTACAACCCTTCCAGCATCCACACAGTCACATGATTGGAATTCAGACACTTGGCAACTGATTCATATTTACGATGGTTGCAGTGTCCAGGGGTCATGCGATTCTCTTTTGTGACCTTCTGACAAACAAAGTCAATGGGGAAGCCAGATTCACTTATCAACCATGTTACTAACCTAAGAACTGCATTATTCCCTTAATCACAGTACTAAGAAAATCTATAGAGATTCTCAGTCATCCAGGTCATGAGTGTCCCAAAGGTGCTTTTTTCAAGAGACAACTGGACTTTCTCGTTTTTCTCATCAGCTCTGAAGAAGCTTCTTGGATGAGAAGCAAAATGTCTTCAAAAACAAACAAACCAGAAAGTCCAGTTGTCTCTTGAAAAAAATACCTTTGGGACAGTAGTAAGAAAGGCAATAAAATGGGGCAAAATTCACTTCAGTTACAACAGAAATGTTGTGCTCAATTGTGGTCATAAGCCGAGGACTACCTGTATTTATGCAATGTTGCTCCTTTATTTGAGAGAGAGAGATATCCAAAGCTAGTTTCTGGCAGTAACTTCTTTGCTTTGGATAATTTTTGAATCAAAGACCATCCCTACAGATGTTTAGTTCCCTCAAAGCAATATCTCATGTGGAACATTGTTGTATGTAAAACAGAAATAAGGTAGTGAAGCTGAACTTGGCATAAAGTCTTATTTAGGGTGCCAAATTGTATTTCACTGATAGCAGGGAGGAGGAGGAGGAGGAGGAGGAGGAGGAGGAGGAGGAGGAGGAGGAGGAGGAGGAGGAGGAGGAGGAGGAGGAGGAGGAGGAGGAAAAGTAAATGATATCTTCCTGGTGAAGAAAGGGCATGTTTTTATACTTTTGTATAAATACATTTTTTTCTCCTGAAAGAAATAAAGGAAACATCAAAGTTGGGAAAAGATACTGCTTATTTTTGCAGCACGCAGGAAAATCCATAGATGTTTTTTTTTTCTGGAGAAGAGAAAATAAATAGATTTTCTTACCAACTCAAATGAATTGTGACATTGCAATATAGAGAAATAAAGTGTTGGTCTAAACACTAAATTATAGGAGTCTGCCTTGGCTGAGATTTTTTATGAGAATCATTATGTTGTCCACAATTCAACAAAGAGATAAGCATTCTTAAGGTCACTTAACCCTGAACCTCATTGTAACTATCGGCATCTTGTCTGTTAGAGAACTGGGAGGTTGAAACATCTCCCAAATATCTTTGTGTTATGGTAAAGGAAGGAAGAAAAATGGTGTGCCAGCAGTGGTAGCACACCACTATCTGCATCTTGTAATGATTTCTGAAAACCAGGTAGACAAATCTGAATAAGTGCTGAAAACTCTTGTTGTATAATCCGTATAATAAGGATGTCAAACTCAAGGCCTGTGGGCCAGATCCAGCCCATGGGGCCGTCCTGGTCTACCCAATGCAAAGAGGAAAGATTGCTCTGGTCTACCCAGCACGAAGATCAGGCCAACATAGCTTCAGCCCAGTCTACCCATTGCGAATAGGAAAGATCAGGCCAGCGTGGAGTCAGCCTGGCCTACCCAATGCGAAGAAGAACATGCTAGCAGTTTGGGGAGTAGTGTCAAGCTAGCTCCGCCCACCCAGTTGGCCATGCCCATCTGCCCCCCCCAAAAGGTCAACCACAGTCCTGATGCAGCCCTCAATGAAATTGAGTTTAACACCCTTATGTATAACAAACTATTATTTTTTGAATGTAATAAGATAGTATCAACACATCCACATCTTTTCCACTTAATGGGAGGCTATAATAATAGTTTTTCTTCATCCTTCCTTCCCTCCCTCCCTCCCTCCCTCTTTCTTTTCCTTCCTTCCTTCCTTCCTTCTTTTCTGTATCCTGCCCTAGCATTTCATACCAAAATTTCTGCACTTATTTCGGTGTTACTTACTTTTTTTTTTAGTTGATTTAGTTGAGGACGCATGCATGGAGGTGGGACACATGTGCGAGGGGCGCGTGCATGCGGGGTGTGTGTGTGTGCATTGCATTTTGATCATGCATGCTTTGGGCACTCAGTTAGCCATCACCGGTATAGGGACTCCTAATTCTGGAAAGAGAGCAAGTGGCACACAAAATGGATTTGTTCAATGGATGTCTGTGCTGTAGCTGCCCCTTGTGAGACTAGAACCGTGATGGTGAACCTATGACACACATGCCACAGGTGGCACATGGAGCCATTTGTGCAGGCATGCGAGCCCCAGCCAAACTTACATGCACTGCACATGCGCGCACCTCCCAACTGATTTTCAGCCCATTTGAGGCTGTTTTCGGCTTCCCTGAGGCTCGAGGAAAGCTTCTGCAGCATTGGGAGGCCAAAAAACGGGCCTTCCTGAAATACCGGAAGTGCCCATTTTCAGCCTCTGGAGAGCCTCTGGAGCCAGGGAGAGGCCATTTTCACCCTCCCGGGGGCTCGAGGGAAGCCTCTGCAGCCTTTGGAGGGCGAAAAATGGGCCCGTTTTGTTGGAAGATTCGTCAGTGCAGGGGGGGTTGTTACATGCACATGCACAGGGGGAGAGGTGCATTGACTTCTGGGTGCTGGCGCGTGCAATTTTGGGCACAGGAGCCCAAAAAGGTTAGCCACCACTGGACTAGAAGGACCTCTAGATTGTGTATCAACTCTGTCTGTGGAAGTAAACCCCTATTTGGAACTACAGATGGAAACTCTATTATTCAAGAGATCTCAACAACCACAGCCATTACTAGGGATGAAGCCAAATCTGTTCCTCCCCCATTCATAGTCAATTGAATACAAGATAATTTTATTCAAAGAATAACACATGTTTATTTCTTGCATTTAAACATTATTTCCAGTGCTAAGGAAATTCATTAGGATGCATTATTTAAAAACATATATTTTATAATGTTTTGTTGATAGATGGACCAGGCATATAACATGCAAAGTTATATCACAGTCCTTCACAAAGGGACCTTTTGGAGTCCTGGAAAGTGAGAACTAGCCATAAAAAAATTAAAATATTCCTTCTGGCTCCTAATTACATGTAGGACATTTTAGTATCAAGGACAGCTTTCCCCAAGCTCTTATCCCCCCAGATGTATAACAATTCTTGGAATTTCCATCTAGCATGACCAACAGCTGATAACTTTAGTCCCAATGTACTGAAAGTTCCCCAAGATGAAGAAGGCTGAACAAGGGCAACTATAAAACATTTAAATCACAATTAGAAATGCAAAACAATAGAGTGACATTTAGGTAGGCTCACCCCTTTCACCACTTAATGTACTTTGAAATGTGTTTTCATCTAACTGAGCAGATAATTTTTCCAAAGCACTGTATCTTATTCAACAACACATCATTTAAAAATCATGGCTTGGTGCAAAAATGATTGAGGTGTCTTATTATACCTACTGTGCTTATCAACAATGCAACCATTGCTGTAATAAATTAAAGCTTTGTTTCCTTGATTTCTTTATCAAACACATGTAGTATCTTTACTAAACTAAAATTAATTTGTGAGGTAATAAGGTAAAAGTAAAGGTTCCCTTCGCTCATGTGTGCTAGTCGTTTCTGGCTCTAGGGTGTGGTGCTCATCTCTGTTACAAAGCTGAAGAGCCAGCGCTGTCCAAAGAGGTTTCTGTAGTCATGTGGCTGGCTTAACTAAATGCCAATGGTGCATGGAACACTGTTACCTTCCCACCGAAGTGGTCTCTATTTTTCTGTTTACATTTTTACATGCTTTCAAACTGCTAGGTTGGCAGAAGCTGGGACAAGTAATGGGAGCTCACTCTGTTACATGGTGCTAGGGATTCGAACCGGTGAACTGCCGACCTTTCTGATCAACAAGCTCAGCGTCTTAGCCACTGAGCCACCGTGTCCCTGTGAGGTAATATTGTATACCTAACTACAGTAAACCCTGAAGAACTTGTTTTAGTAGACTGTGCTTGTAATTACATAATCTGTATTCAGGCTTCAATCCAAATGGAGTTTTGTCAGTACAATCAAAGTACATTTTATATACATTATGTGCACTTCATGCTTATATAAAATACATTAATGATTTAATGGACTTTTAGTTCTGACAGACATCTCTACTAGTCCATTCAGTTTTTTGCACATTTAACAGCATATAGGGATGACAGTATCTGAAAAGCAGTAAAGATTTATCTTCACCATGTCTGTAGTATCAACTTCTTAATATAGCACAAATGAAATTAAATGCATAGTTCTCATTTATAAGAGCGGAAACAGAAATTCATGTACTCTGTGTACAAACTATTGGGAGAAAATCTGTTCTTATACTTACTCCACAAATCAATTAACAACCACTGTTAATAGGAGTCCATCTGCCCTGTCTACCAATCTTGTGTATGTCTTCATATAATTATCAAACTGTCTTTCTTTATATTTTGAAAAAGAATGAACAAGTGCAAATGTTCAATTAATTCTTCCCAGTGGAAAATGGAAGCATCAAATCCTCAGCAAATGCAAGCATTAAGTGTTTCTTGCCTCCACAGCTGTAGTTATCACAACAGCTCGGAATACCCAACCTCCTCGTGAAAATGTTCATATCTGGAAACAGGATTGCTGCTGTAATCCTGTAGGACTGATTTCCTCAATTATAGTTCCAGTGGACAAGGTTTAACTTCAAAGATATTACCCTTCTGGTGGTGCAGAATATAAGAGCCAGATTGGTCCAGTGCTTAAGTCATCAGGAGTCTGTGAGTTCTAGTCCTGCCTTAGGATGAAAGCCATCTGGGTGACTTTAGATCACCTATTATTCTTTCTCAGCCCAATCTACCTCACAGATGTCATGGGGAAAATAAGAAAATGAAGGAGTATTAGGTACGTTTACTGCTGTTGAAAGAAATATCCTTCTGGGTTCAGTTCTAAGGGGGAGGGGAAAGACACTGGAACCATGGAGGCTGTTTGGAAAGATGGTTTAATGGTGGACAGGACCACATGCAGAGAGGTGGTATTCAGCAGATTCTGACCAGTTCTGGAGAACCAGTAGTGGAAATTTTGAGTAATTCATAGAACCAACAAATAGCACCTCTGACTGGAGATTTTACAGTATTCTTCCCCTGCCACGCCCACGAAGCCCCACTCACAGAACCGGTCATAAAAAAATTTGAATCCCACCACTGGACACATGGCTTGGAGCTCCTGAATGAACAAATGGTGATCATGTGCTTCAAGTTGTTGAGTGAAGAAGAAAAAAGGCTGAGATGCTGAGAGTGCCTAAATTTTATGCCCTCTGTTTGGGCGCCACCTTAGTGTTTCCTGTTCCTGTGTAAGAAATGTATCCCATTGGCTGCCAGCCTCCCAGGGGGCGGGGTCTTATCTAACTTTGTAGGCTTTGTCTGGATCACATGGCTTCACCTGAGTGCTGGCTGATGCAATCTTCCCAGGCCAGATAGTGAGATGGGTAGAGAACTTTGTTATGTATAATACTCTGGCCCAGGCCTTAATGGCCCACCCATTAACAAAGGGGAGGGGTGAGCTTCTGCATCTCTGAGTTTTTACTTCCCTTTTAGGGGAAATATTCTGCCTTTTTAATATTTCCTAGGATATTTCATTTTTCTAGGAGGGTGTGGGTGCTAACTTCCTACACTGTCTTCAGAAATTTATAAAAACAATGACAGGATTTTTAAAAAAATATCTTAAACAATTAAGGGCTACAGATAAAGAAAAGAGATAAATAATTTAGCTTTTAATGTTATGAGCTATCTGCCCAATCCTAATATGAATATTAGCTCTTGTTATAAACTTGTTGCAAATTTCTAAGGGGCCATAAAATGCTGAACATTTTTGTAGAAACAACCATTTCGCAATGTATTTAACCTCTTGCCACTTGTATCTGATTTCCATGGAAATTTCTGGAAAGAGTTGGGCTCATCCCTCAGAGAATAGGCAATGTACAAAGGGGGCTAATTCATCAACACAGTTCTATTGTCATGTCTCCTAGTAAATTGGATATTTCAAGAGTCTAGAGGAACTAAAAGTTCTTTCTTGTCACTTGGTTACTAGTATGTGGCTTTCAACTGCTTCTCTTTTTAGAAATAAAATGTCTTCCTGGGTAGATTCAAAAGAACATGGTGCAAACATAAAACTAAGTTTTGATGTGCCATCAGTTGAACCATAGTCTATAGGAGCTACAAGGCTTCATAAAAAGACGAACAAAAATCATTTCCATTTTCTCAAGAAAATTGGGACATTGGCACAGAGCATCATTTAATAGTGCATAATATTATTGTTGTTGTTTTCTTTCAACTATCATGAAATCCGCACAGTTTGCTTGATGATAGCATGCAAAAGGTTAGTAGCAGATAATGTTGGAAAGCAATCATGGTCCTGGTAAAAATCAGTGCATTTCCTCCGAAAGTATTACAATCAAGTCATCTCATTCTTTATTGTAATCATTTAAAAGGATAACTTTTTTTAGTTCTAATTGTTCATCCAGCATTGCAGTGTTTACTTGGGACATTGTGCATTATGCATTCAAAGAATGACACCCCCCATCTAGAAAATGAAAGGCTGGGAAGAAGTTCTTCTAGTCCTCTAAGGAATTTTTTGCCTTATCGAATAAGGCATTCTTTCCAAAGCACAGTTGGGGCTCATTACTTTCTAAGTAACATGTTCTGCTCTTGAGAATTTTTTTGACTCTAGTTAACCTATTAGCTTCAAAATCTTGAAGGCTTGTACTTCTCTTCTTGTCTTTACTTTGAAGTAATTTTGTTCTCATGGGCTTGGGCACCAAGGAATGTTCTCAAGATCAGGCAAACAAGGTTGTAGGCTAAGGATTGGCCATTTCTCCCAGTTTGGAGATTTCAGACAAACTTCTACTGCTGTCAATTCCTTTCTCATTCTCTTGATTGACACTCTTAGACCATTATATTATTATTATTATTATTATTATTATTATTATTATTATTATTATTA